GACTGCTATCAAAAAGAGGATATACAAATTGCGCACAGACCGGAGAATACACTTAGGAACATTTTTAATAGGACTAAGGCAAAAATTGCAGAAATGGACCTGAATAACGTAGTCTATAAAATTCCATGTGACGGAGACAGCGACAACCCATGTAGGAGATTTTACATTGGAACCACTAAGTCGAAACTAAAAACACGGATATCACAACACAAGTCAGACTACAAACTAAGGCATCAAACATTGACACAAAAAACTGCTCTAACAACCCACTGCATAGAGACTGGACACACCCCCAACTTTGAAGAAACGAAAGTACTTCAACAAGAACGACACTACAGTAAGCGATTCACTCTCGAAACGCTACACATTATCAACACACCTAACAAATACAGAATTAACTACAAAGCAGACACCGAAAATTGCGCGCATATTTACAGACACCTGTTAGTTAGTAACTCCAAGTCAAACAGAGCAGACTTGCTTAAATAAGTAATTATATAAAAATTTTTGTGTTATAGTTTTAATATATTAATTATGTTATATGTTTTGTAGTTGCCCTGAAGACGGTTACCGTGGCGTAACCGAAATATATCGGAAAAAGAAAAGAAAATTAAATAAATTGGTTTTTCTTACTCTGACCTCGAGCCGGCCAAACAATAAAAATAACTATGAGGAAGGTCACCAAAATACTCAACAATATTCAAACGGAAGGCACGCCGTATGCAGCAACCAGTAAAATGGAATATGCAAAAATAAAGAACAACTACAAAAACTCCAAACACGTAATTAACAAATATCAGCAAATATCCAAAAAATTAGTTAAATTACAGTCTAGTATAAAATTTTTATTACAATGCCGAAAGTACAAACTTGTCCCCAACTTCATAAACAATACCACAAACTGCACCAATATATTTAAAAATAATTCAAACTCACTCATTCCCACAAACATAAGCCAAAGATTAGAAAAGCATAGCCATATATTTCACATGAAAATTCTTAGTATATTGATCGCACATAAACATAATATTATTGACGAGAAGAGGAAACAATTACAAAAAACAAAAACAACCATAGAGGAAATAATGAGAGCGGACGATACAAAAGCATTTTTTGAGAGTGAAGAGAGCATAATGAACAAACTGACAACAACTCTCAAAGAACGACAACTACGAAAACTGGAGAACCTAAGAAACGATCGTAACGAACGGCACACAGACAACAACAAAAAACAGGCAGAGTGGTTTGCAAACCAATCACACACAACATTCCCACCAAACATCACAGCATTACTTGCTATGGGTCCAAAGTACGCTTTACCAACTGACCGAAAAAGCTTTCCGCTCTTTAAATGCATAGCGGACGGAGAGGAGTTGGTACAAACAATAAAAAACAAAGAGAACCAAGAAACAGCTCGCATAAAACTCTCTTTACTAATTAAGAACATGATGACAAACAACCGAACTAACACAAGAGATCGCGCAATATTAGACACAGTGGAACAAACCAAAAAATTTCTGAAAACTAATGACAACATTTTAATATTAACTTCGGACAAAGGAAATAAGACGGTAGCCATGGACAAGGAGGAATATAATATCAAAATGACGGATATACTAGGAGACGCAAACACATACAGAACACTCAGACAAGACCCCACGCTTAGGCTACAGAATAAAAACAACAACTTCGTTGACAAACTACTCCAATTGAACATAATCACAAAGACTGAAAGGAATAAATTAGTTACAAGCACTGCACTACCACCCAGGATCTATGGACTACCGAAAATACACAAAAAAGGAACACCCCTGAGACCGATTTGTTCGTCAGTCGGTTCCCCTTGTCACGAACTTAGTAGATACATCGCTGGGATATTAAAGAACCTGACCAATACCTCACCATATAACGTTAAAAATTCCTCAGAGTTTAAAGACAAGGTCAACAACACTTATATAGTAGACGATGAGATTTTAGTTTCGTTCGACGTGGTGTCTCTGTTCCCGAGCATCCCAATCGACTTAGCGATGGATGTCATCAGTAAAAACTGGACCAGGATAGAAAGCTTCACTAAAATCCCAAAGAGAATGTTTATGGACATCGTACATTTCTGCATCCGTGAAACAAGGTATTTTAAGTATACGGACAGAATATATATACAACTTAAGGGACTACCGATGGGATCCCCGGCGTCCCCTGTAATAGCGGACATAGTCATGGAGGAGCTTCTGGAAAACACAACATCGAAATTGATCCATAGACCAAGACTCCTGACCAAATATGTTGACGACTTGTTCGCAATTATTGACAAGGAACAGGTGCAAAAGACATTAGACGCCCTCAACATATACCACAAAGACATCCAATTTACATTAGAGACAGAAAATGACGAGAAACTTAATTATTTGGATTTGACTATAAATAGATGTGGGAATACGCTAAAAACAAAATGGTACCAGAAACCGACGGCATCGGGTAGGCTGATTAACTATCACTCGAAACATCCGAAAAATATGATAATAAATACAGCCAAGAACTGTATAAGACGGATGTTCGAGACAAGTGACAAATTTTACCATAAACAAATAGAGGAAGAAATTAAACGGATACTGACACAAAACGACTTCCCTATCAAATTGACGTATTCCCTAATCAAGAACCATAAGAACCCAAAGAAAAAAGAACCAAGAGCACCAAAAATCTACAAATCTCTGACATACGTATCTGGGTTCTCAGAACGCTTCACCCAGTCAGACTGCTATCAAAAAGAGGATATACAAATTGCGCACAGACCGGAGAATACACTTAGGAACATTTTTAATAGGACTAAGGCAAAAATTGCAGAAATGGACCTGAATAACGTAGTCTATAAAATTCCATGTGACGGAGACAGCGACAACCCATGTAGGAGATTTTACATTGGAACCACTAAGTCGAAACTAAAAACACGGATATCACAACACAAGTCAGACTACAAACTAAGGCATCAAACATTGACACAAAAAACTGCTCTAACAACCCACTGCATAGAGACTGGACACACCCCCAACTTTGAAGAAACGAAAGTACTTCAACAAGAACGACACTACAGTAAGCGATTCACTCTCGAAACGCTACACATTATCAACACACCTAACAAATACAGAATTAACTACAAAGCAGACACCGAAAATTGCGCGCATATTTACAGACACCTGTTAGTTAGTAACTCCAAGTCAAACAGAGCAGACTTGCTTAAATAAGTAATTATATAAAAATTTTTGTGTTATAGTTTTAATATATTAATTATGTTATATGTTTTGTAGTTGCCCTGAAGACGGTTACCGTGGCGTAACCGAAATATATCGGAAAAAGAAAAGAAAATTAAATAAATTGGTTTTTCTTACTCTGACCTCGAGCCGGCCAAACAATAAAAATAACTATGAGGAAGGTCACCAAAATACTCAACAAAAAATATTTAAGTTAGAAATTTGAACTCAACTGTGTTCAGTTCATAGGTCTCACATATAGATTATGTGTACATTTTATGGATCACTTAAAAAAAAAATGGAGAAAAATTATGAAATCCGCAACCGGCACCATCGTTGTTAATTAATTGTCAACAACTGTATTTAAGGGGACGTTTTTATTTTAGTCTACCCCAATTCTACGAAACATCTATGTATATTGAACGCAGTAGCCACGCAAAAAGGCAGAAATGGCTGAAATTCACACTGAAAAAGTATACGTACATTCTTCTAATGTCCTTCCGTCGTTATGCCTGCTAAAATAATGGTGATCTCCGATATGCTTTTTAGTATGCTTGTAATTTTGTGGTTTGTAATATCATTTCTGTTGGCCGTCCAAAAATACTGACCGCAAGAGTTGAACGCCAAATATTGACTGGAGTAAAAGCGGACCCCAAGTAATAAGCCTTCAAACAATTCGAAATTTGTTTAGAACCATGGGTATAACGCACGAACCCCGCAAAAAATACTTTATAAAGTCAACAGAGAGAAGAGGTTACAATTTGCTAAAAGATATGCGAATGAGTTTTTTTGATTCAACAAGACAATTATCCGTAACACAGCACGTATCTCGTTAAGGAATGGCTTCTTTATAATTTTAAACAGCTGCGTGCACCCACACAACATCCAGACATATGTAAGTCCTATCGACCACAGTTGGATTTTGTTGCACAAAGGGAATCGCAAGGATAATATTACTTCGAAGGATTCGCTAAAGACAATATTATCGAACAAGTCGGGGAAAAAATGGGGAAGACACCCAAGTTTCAATGAAAAGTATGCCTCTACGCTTACAAAGTGTAATTGCTGCGAAAAAACGTTTAACTAATTACTAATGTAGATAAAACATACAAATTTAACTAAAATTTGGCTGCTGTACGTAAACTTTTTTGGCGTGCATTTTTGAGTTCTTTTTTATTTTAAATCATATTTCCTTGTAAGGGAAAAGTGTTGTTGTGTTAATAAATATAAACCCAATCATAATGTGAAGACGTTGGGTTCCTTTTTGTTCGAAAATTTACTAATTTAATCGAATATTTTTTAAAAACCAAAATGTACTTCTTCTGCTCACTGTATATTGTTTTTGCATTAATCTGCTTGTGCGTCTGCGACAACTACATATATTTTGTTTTTGCAAGTTCGCTCGAGATCGATCTTTTGTTTGTGCGTCTGGCTGGCACCTCCTACTAATACATAACGGAAAAAGCCCTGGGAGCCCAGAGCCACTACGTGCCCATCGCTGATACACATACAAACATACATTTGTATATACTTTTCGCGGTCTGGCACGCCTCCTTCTGTGTATTACATACATTCGCACAAAACTAGTATGGCCTTTTACCGTTTGGGTATAGGCTATAAAAAGTTTCCTTTGCTATCTTAAACCAATTATTGACAAAAATGTATGATTTTCTTGTCAAAATAATTGTGCCGACCAGTGTATGTATGTATGAATGTACTTACTACAAAGAACTATGTATAATTATAAATTACCAGTAGGAAATAAGTTTTCCAGCAGGTCTTCACAGCTTCGAAACCACATAAACGGAGTTATAATATAAACATCGCTATTGCATACAAAACTATGAAGAATTGAATTTATGTTAGGGTGTCTAAATTGACGAGTTAAAATGATTTCGTCACTTATATTTTGTAACTCTTTGTCTTCCGTTTTTTCTAGGCATAACTTCTTGATAGCAATGGAATAATTTGGAGAACCACACTTTCCCATGTATACAGTACAGAATTTTCCATTTTGTTTTCCCAGTACAGATATTATTTTATAGTCAGATAAAGTGTTGCCAAACATTTCTATTCTTAATCAATTTTGTGAAAATTACAACTGCAGTAAGGATAGGCATCGATATGGCAATATCGATAAAATATTGATATTAACATGTAAAATCCTATTATATTAAATGCGATATACATCGAACGCATCGATTTTTATTACGATATATATATATCAAACTTTTTTGATTGCGCTTAAGTGCGCAATTATGCCAATTGATGTTTTTTGTTGGTTTCTTACAGAATCATCCAAAACAACCCAAATTTTGGCAAATATTCACAAAAAAATGATTGCGTGTCTGCTCGGTGTAACTTAGGCAAATTATGAAGACGTTGATGGTGATAATCTAACACCTTTTTGGAAAATGTTGGCTGCGCTACAGCAACAATAAATTCCAAGCATCAATGGAAGGGACGAAGAGTCGGATTATCTCCCTTCACCATTAGCAGATGCAAACCTTTAAAAAATTCATATTAAAGCGTTTTCAAAATGGCCTGTGTTTTTTTGCCTATTGTTGCCAAGTGCATACCGCTATCACAAGCACTTTTCCTTGGCAGCTTGCCGTAAAGTGATTGGAAATTTTAATTATAAATTTTAAATTTAACCTTGTAGCCTGAAATGCATAAATGGATATGCGCGATATTTTTGTTTCATCATTTAATTTTAGTAAATTTGACTGAACCGTATGTTATGAATATTACCAGGGTTCGTAAAATGAGAGCACGGCTCATTTGGACCTACGAGCAATTCTGCCGCAGCTCGTGTAAGCCGTCTGGCTTGACCCAGCTGTTTTGCCTACCATTGCACAGTGGTACCTGAGACTATTTTTAAAGATCCATGGCGCTGCAACTAATTTAACGGGACTTTACTACATATTTATTCCCATACCAATAAAACCTACAGTCAATTTGTATAGTTCTTTAGAATAACATAAAGTATATTAGTAACTAGTTTAATTATTTTCAAAGGATCTATTTGTTTTCTATAGCCAAACAAGTGGAGAAGCTAAAGCCGGGTGTCCCGACTTTAAAATACTCTGCACATATGCTTAGAATAATTATAGAAATTAAACAAATTAAGAAAATTAAAAAAAAAAAAATGTTGATCGATTTCACCTTTCTTGGTATTTGAACTCCGGTAAAGAGTGTATAATTGCACATTTATATAGCAATTTCCCCTATGTGAGTGTATGTCTATGCGCGTCTATTCGTGTCTGTGTGAGAATGTTTGCAGTCAACCAAAGCACCAGCATCAACAACAGCTGCAATTATATTTATCGGTATAACTTCGTGCTAAATCGGTCCATCATAATGAAACTTAGCATATGGACATATAATCACTAACTCGGGGTATTTGCATAAGTTGAGTTCGAAATTCTAAGAATTACGGGAGTTATGGAAAATCACTACTATCGGGGGAGTTCATCGGAAAAAATTAACAAACTTGATTTGCCTAGGGCTTAGGGGAACCCGGATACCAACTTTGGTAATTAGTAAGCTAGACAGGCTGACAGACGGACAGACAGACAGGGCTAGATCGACTCGTCTAGTCATGTTGATCAAGAATATACTTTGTGGGGTCTGCCATGCCACCTTCTGCCTGTTACATTTTCAGCTCTCGCTTACCTAATATACTGTTGTACATTTTATGTACAGAATATAATAAACACGCAAAGACACGATTGTGATGTAAATGTATGATGTTGAAATTGTAAATGAACATGTCTGCACTTTTGTATATATGTATTGAATAATTAGTATTTAATTTAATTAAATAATTTAATTAATATGACTTTTTTAATTAAGTAAAAAAATTTTTTTCAGGGTTTTTAAGAGTCGACTTTTGCATTCCATTATCTTTACAGACTAATTTTGTAGCATTTTTCGAAAGGTGCCAATGTCGGCCATTAGCACGCTTCTGCAGCAAACTTATTCAATTCAATTCAATTCCTAATGTGTATCACGTTGCCGAAAGTATTTATCTGGTAGCACTTGGGCCTTCTGGGCTAGCTGAAAGATTTATTTCAGCGGCAGGATACATTTAATGAACGGTGTAACCGCATATATCTAGAGCGACTCTCCAAATTAATATTCGTACAAAATTTTAATATTATGATTGCATAATAATATATAATATATAAATTAATTTTGTAAATATTAAAGGTATTTATATAAAACATATTTATACTCTGTACATAAAATGTACAAGAGTATATTAGGTTAGCGGGAGCTGAAAATGTAACATGCAGAAGAAGGCGTGGCAGACCCCACAAAGTATATATATTCTTGATCAGCATGACGAGACGAGTCGATCTAGCCCTGTCTGTCTGTCTGTCCGTCCGTATGAACAGCTGGATCTCAGAGACTATAAGAGCTAGAGACACCAAATTTTGCACAAAGATGCGTTATATGTGTACGCTGTGCAAGTTTGTTTTAATTTTTTTGATTTTCCCCCTCCACTTCCCCCCTATGGGCGTTTTCCCGATTTTCCATTCGTATAATCGCCTATATCTCAGAGACTATAAAACCTGGGGACACCAAATTTTAGTCCAAGATGCCTTATGTGAATACACAGAAAATGTATATTTTGGAATTTCCCTCCCCCCCTCTCCACTGCAAATCGTAACTCCCGTAACTCTTGGAATTTCAAACTTGGCAAATACCTCCATTTAGTTATTATAAGTCTAAATGTCAAGTTTCATCATGATAGGCCGATTTAACAGGAAGTTATAGCCATATATGTACATAAGCCCAAATAGTGCCCGAAGATGTTGTTGTTGTTACTGCTTTGCTCAGGCACAGGAGACATACACAGACACACACAAACACACACACACACGCATAATTTTTCTACACATATGTACAGAGTATTTCAAAGTCGGGATAACCGACTTTAGCTTCTCTAATTGTTTTTAATTAAAATCTTATAAATTATGTCGAAATGTGCGAATGAAATATGCTCAGAAGCAGCTACTGGGTATTTATGAGTTGCGCCATTTGACGGAACCTTTTTCCCTTGTGTTATATTCAAAAGTGAAATCGATATATCGATTATTTATGTTGCGATACATATTGCAGCGATGATTGTCAAGACGATTTTATTTTCAGATGTTCCTTTCGGTGTAAGCGTACTTATTAAGCGCTGAGACGAAGCTGAAGACGAATTTCTTGCTTTGCAACCAAACAACATATGTTGTGTGGTTAGTGGTTGCGAGCAAGCTGACAGGTGTTCATAGTGAGATACGAATTCGATGCGTATTTATTTTATTTCACTTGTACGTTCAACCAATAAAAGATCAGGTACTGGACGAAACATTAATGTAACATCGATACATGTAGACCTTTCTTTCTTTCTTTGGTTTTCGTTATATTCTTTGAATTTGTGAAAATATTGCTTGTTTTGAAACCTACCTTATTAACTACAATAACAACCATTAGCTTTATAAATTGGATGACAAATCCAAACAAAATGTCGAGAGTCCCGATTTTGAAATGCTCTGTACATTTATTTAGAATATTTAAATAAAATTACGAAAATTAAAAAAAATGTTTGAAAAAATTTGAGTTTACGTAGAAGTTGTATAATGCGGGTGTATGCATGTCTATTCATGTCTGTGTGAGCATTTTTGCAGTCAACCAAAGCACCAACATCAACAACAGCTGCTGACAGCGTTTGTGCAGCAAATATATTTATGGCTATAACTTTCTACATCTTTGCATGTGCTATGAACAGTGTTTCGTCTTAAGTTTCGTAATATCCTAATATCACTAGTGTATACGGATAAGAAATATTCTATATGCGATATTGATAACAGCGATATTACCATTAGAAGGATTAGCCTGGCCATCCACACGCGAGCATGTTGCGTGAATTATTATTTTTTATTTATTTCTTTTTGAGTTATTGATTGAAAGAGTTTGATCGTGTCTACAAGTGTTTGTGTGATTACAGTGAATTATACAAATTTCGTTCTGGGGCTACCTTTACTGCTTCGATAGAAATTTTGTGTTTGTTAAGTTCCACAATTCGTCTGTACTAACCTTAGAAATCGATGGTGAATTAATAAAACTGATAGCAATAGTATCGTCAGTGGCATCGATAGTTCTCTCCCTCTAATCTGATGAAGTTATACTTATTCGGAGCTATGGATAAATTTAATTTTGGTAACTCTGATATTTCCCGAGGACAAATGATTCAAATGTTGTTACGCATTTCAATAGCCACCGTAATAACTTATTATTCTGCAAAATTTTTGATGAACCAACTGGACCCCACAAACAAAACTAAAAAAAAGGCCAAACTATTAGCGGAGGAGCAATTAAGAAGGTGAATTTTTATTTACAGAAATAAAGTACTATAATAATACAACACCTTATATTTTTAAATTAGACTTAACAGGGAAGATGGTTTTAAAGTGTACCCGCAACAATTTAATGAATATGAGTTAATGATTGCTTCCCACCTCGTTGTACCTAGCGACATAACTGTTAGTTGGAATGATATAGCTGGGCTCGATTCCGTTATTCAGGAGCTACGTGAATCAGTGGTTCTTCCTGTTCGACACAGAGATATATTTAAAGGATCTAAGCTTTGGCAGGCTCCTCGGGGTGTTCTACTTCATGGACCGCCCGGTTGTGGTAAAACATTAATTGCCAAAGCCACCGCCAAAGAAGCCGGAATGAGATTTATTAATCTGGACGTCGCTATTCTTACTGATAAATGGTACGGCGAATCGCAGAAGCTAGCATCGGCAGTTTTTTCATTGGCCACAAAAATAAGGCCATGTATAATTTTTATTGATGAAATCGATTCATTTTTGCGGGCCCGCAATTCAAATGACCACGAGGCGACAGCGATGATGAAAACACAGTTTATGATGTTGTGGGACGGATTGATAACCAATTCAAACTCGTCAGTGATAGTAATGGGTGCTACAAACCGCCCTCAGGACTTAGATAAGGCTATTTTGCGACGCATGCCTGCACAATTTCTCATTGGACTACCCACTGAAATACAAAGAAATGAAATACTTAAGTTAATATTGGCGACAGAAGAAGTTGATGTCAATGTTGATTATAATCGATTGGCAAAGCTAACAAACGGATTCTCTGGGTCAGATCTACGTGAGATGTGCCGCAACGCGTCGGTGTATAGAATGAGACAATTCATGCGAGCTAACGACAGAGGTAACAAAATAATTGACAGTTCAAATGTTAACAGAACTTTAATTGCTATTACGATGAACGATTTGTTGAACTCACATTCTAAAATGAAGGAATCTAAGATACACACTGGTAGCCTCTTTTTAGAGAGTAGAATTGAATTGGACTAAAAATTGTATGTTAAAGACCAATATTATATTTCTTTGTATTCAAATACACAATTTTTAAGAAGTATATATCGAAATATGGAACATTTGTTTACTCTGTACCCAAAGGGTAAAACGGAATACTAATTTAATGGCAATGTTTATAATACCTTGAATGAGGCGTAACAGACCCAACAAAGTATAGATACTCTAAATCAGCGATGAGCAAGTAGTGGCTCTTGGCTCCAAGTGCTCTTTCCGCTAATGTTTTGGTGCTTATAAAAGCAAACTACAAAATACAGTTGTCGCCAGCCAGTCGCCCAAGCAGATTGATACAAAATACACGTAGTTGTAGCTAACTCTACTGGTGATTTTTGTTGTAGATGTTGTTGCGGTACTCTTAAATGTTGCGGTGCTTTAAATCATGATGAGCCAATATTCGTATAGCTATGTGCCAAAGAGGGGAAAACGAGCTCCATTGTTTGGTTGACAAATCTGTATTTTTATACCCTGTACCCAAAGGGTGAAAGGGTATACTAGTTTTGTGCGAATGTATGTAACAGGCAGAAGGAGGCGTGGCAGACCCCACAAAGTGTATATATTCTTGATCAGGATGAGAAGACGAGTCGATATAGCCATGTCCGTCCGTCCGTCCGTTTGTATGAACGCAAGGATCTCAGAAAGTATAAGAGCTAGAATAACCAAACTTGGTATACAGATTCTCCTGAGCCCGAGAAAGGACGAGTTTGTTCATTTTTCCCGATGCGCCCCCCACTCCCCCCTATTCAAGATTTTCTATAACTCCCGTAATTCTTGGAATTTTAAACTAAAATTTGGTTAACATCCAGTTAGTAATTATATATCCGTATACCAAGTTGCATTATGATAGGTTGATCAGAAAGAAAGTTATAGCTATATAACCATGCCCAATGCACACATACATACATATGTACAAGTACACAAACACGCATAGACACGATTCTGATGTAAATGTGCATGTATGGAATATTTTATATTTAATTTTGTTAATTAATTAAATTAAATTAATTTATTTTTTTGTGGGATGGTACAGGGTATTTAAGAGTTGAGCCTGCTCGACTTTAGCATTCCTTTCTTGTTCCACCTTTCAAATTCAAATGGTCTTTATAATCTGTACCTAAAAGGTACAAGAGTATGTAACAGGCAGCAGGAGGCGTGGCAGACCCCTCAAAGTATATATATTCTTGAACAGCATGACAAGTCTAGTCAATCTAGGCCTGTCTGTCCGTCCGTATGAACACCTGAATCTTAGATACTATAAGGCCTAGAGACACCAAAGTTTGTTTTATTTTTTCGTAACTCGTAATTGTTGGACTTTCGAACTCAAATTTGGCAAATACCGAAGAAGCGTGCGGAATTGAAACCTTGGTGCTCTGGCTTTTCCCAGTCTATGTCATACCAACCATTCCTGTACCAGGAGCTCAAACGCATTCAATTGATAGTTAAATAAGTTAACCGCGGGTGAGGTAGTTTGTAGTTCCTTCTTGCTGTGATCTATTTATTGTTGATTACTTCCTAGTGCAACAAGTGTAGTTACTTATATGTTAAAACACTAGTCACATAAAGAGTTTTACATATGTACTAGATTAGTTTTAATGAGTTTATATTGAAATTTGAGACAGCGAATTAAAATTCTAATAATAAATAATGCATATCTAAGTTTAATAAAATTTCTATTTTTCTTAATACTAAATTACATTGTAGAATGATTGTATATGTCATGCTTGTTATCGTGACAGTTTATTAATGCTAATTTTGTAGATATTTTTTACATCGAAATTGAGTAGCGTTTCTGATGTTTTTTATGTGTGTTGGTAGTCCATTCCAAATGCGAACAGCATATGTACAAGTATATTAAAAATTGTCTGTCGGATAATAAAAGCCTGTGCTGACATACTAAGTTATGGGTTCTTAGAGATGTGGAAAATGTAATTCTTTGATACAGGTATGCTGGTTCCTTAGTATTTATCAATTTTTGCAAACATAATAAAACCAGAAAGTTTATCCAAGACATGAAACTTAAGTCAAAAAGTTGGTATGCATAGCTGGTGACATGATCAGAGCGTCTTAGACCGAAAACATAACGAGCGACACTATTGTAAGCGACTTTTAGTTTTCGGAATGAAATTGCGTCACAATTTGCATATACCTCAACACCATAGGATAGTATTTGAAGTATGAATGTTTTCGCTATCATCATTCGCAGATTTACTGGTAGGAATTGCTGAGTCAAGTTCAGAAGTCTTAACACACCATAATCTTTTCCAACAGCTTTATTTATGTGATTGTACCACGTCAAGCTCCTGTTGAAGCAGAAGCCTAAGTTGTTAGCTTGATCGACATATTCAATCGAAGTGTCTCCAATCACAAGGGGGTTGAAGTATGAAGTGTTTAATTGGTTTTTATAGATTACTAGGTATTTAGATTTAGAGGGATTGAGTTTTAACCCATTGTTTTGAGCCCAGTCAGAGATTTTCCCAAGTTCACCATTACTAACACTTATACACTCATTTAATTTAGTAACAGGACGACTAACATACATTTGCACATCGCCAGGTGGACTTTACTGTTAGACATGACAAGGGAGGTCATTCACGTACAGGGTGAACAATAATGGGCCAAGAACGGATCCCTGAGGAACACCACGACTAACAGGTAACAACGAAGAATGATCAGACGATATTACAAAAGCTTGACGCCTATTGGTCAAAAAAGAATGCATTAAAGTTTTTGAGAAGTAATACATTCTATTAAGTTTAGTGCACATTATTTCATGATTAACACAATCAAATGCCTTGCTGAAGTCGAGTAAGCTTAAAAAAGTAACACAGCCAGTATCCATTTGACTGCGAATATCCTCAACCACATTTAGGACAGCTGTGGTACTTCGGTGCTTTCTGAAACAAGATTGGTCATCACATAAGAGAAGGTTTTTGTTTAGAAAGTCACTGTTTTGGTTTGCTATTAGGTTCTTGTAAACTTTTGAGAGATAAGGAAGAATAGCATAGGACAGTATTCATTTTTAGTCTTAGGAATAGGACAGATTTTTGACATTTTCCGCTTATCAGGAAAGCAGGAAGTCATAATTTATGTGTTGAAAATGCGTGTAATATGCGCTAGGACTTTAGGTAAAATCATTTTGATAAATTTTGGGTGTAGGTCATCAAATCCGACCGCGTTCGACTTAACTTTAAGAACAGATTCTAGGACATCACATTGACTGACACAACGAAAACTAAAACTACTATCATAGGTTACATTAGGTACAGCATTTATATACGTATTATACGTAATGACAGGTACTTCAATTTGTACAAATTTATAATTTAATTCATTCACGTCAACATCGGAGGGAAGAAGTGATTTCGTTTTACCAATACCCATTCTTCGAAGTTTATTCCACGTTGCTTGAAATCGCATTGCAAAATTGTGAAGTATGATATGCTCGTTTGGCAGCATTTCATCAAGCAAGATGCATGCTTTCTGAGGTATTTGAACTTGGAATAGTGATATTCAGTTTTATATCTTTTCCACTTTCCATATGCATCATTGCGTTTTTTAATGGCAAGTCTAATTGTGCCATTAAACTTTTTTCGTTCGTAGTGGTACAAATTTTTCGTAGAGATAGCTTATTTTGTGTTCGAATTGTTGCAGTTGAGAATCGACCGAGGCTAACCAGTAGACAACGTCCCAATCAAGTAAAGAAAATTCGTCATTTAGCTGTGCAATGTCAATATTCTTAAAATCTCTATATTCTATTTTATGGTCAGTTTTATCAATACAAGTGTCAAGAAGATAAGGTTATGTTTGGAGAACACAGGTACAGAAAGTTGGTCATATAGCAGCATTTTCTTTAAATTGTTAATAAAAAAAAAGGTCAAGTAATGTGTTAGAGGTTTGTGAGAAATGTGTTGGTTGTGTTGCATTAACAATTTTCATGCCTAATGCCTCCATGTCATCGCTTAGACGAGCGTCACACAGAGCAGTGGAATTGAAATCACCCGTCAGAGTTACGTCTTCATAGTTAATTGAAATGTCAGAAAATATACTGATCGGATCAGTGTAGTTTGTGTTGCGATGAGGCCGATATATGCAGCCAATTAAAATGTTCCGGCAGTTTTTTAGATGAGATAGTGAGATAAAAAGGTATTTTATTGAACACCCCTCAGGTTGTTTGCATATAATTCCGGCTTTAATTTTCTTTCTTACATATATTGCAACTCCACCCGCATGGCCTACACGATCTGCACGGAAAACATTAAATCCATCACAATTAATCAACGAACTACACATGTCAGACATAAAGCAAGTTTCAGACACACATATAACATCAACCTTGGAATTTACAAACATATACCTAAATTATTCTATCTTGTTCGTTAGGCTTTGCGCATTGATGTGACAAATATGTGAGCCTGGCTTTTGGTTGCAAAGAACATTTAGCATTGTATGGCTGCTCGCATTTAAGCTACTTTTACTAATTTGCATATTTAAATACTTGAAGTCGTTTCAGAAACGCACTCGAAGTATAAAAAGAAAATATATAATTTTTTAAAACAAGCATGACAGCATAACAGCATGCATAACAGAAGTTTCTTAAGTGCGAAAGTTACTATTACTAAAGTGTTCCCCTAAAGCTCCAGCGCCGTCCGTCTCAGCCGATGGCTCGGCAAGGGAAGTTAAAGCTTTTATGCAGTTATTCTGCAGTGCCAAGAGCGCTTGCATGCTCTCAACGCGAACAGCTGTATCGCTAGTAGGTGTTTTAACATGCACTAATGCACGGCGAGTAAATACTGATAAGAGCAACTTCTGTCTCTTTAATTTCATTGCCTCTTTAAAAATATCATAATTTCGTTTGCTTAGTTGCTCATTTATGTAAATTGGGGTTGGCGAGTCAAAACCTAGGAGCAGCAAATTTAGTTGTTTAGTTTCTCGCCGGTGTGTGCCAATTGCCCGCAAAAATGAAGTTTTATCGCGCACATGTTCGAGTTTAATTATTATCACCGGATCAACAATGGAATGATTGGTCCTGCTTTGCTTGACCAGATAAATTTCTTTC